GAAATATATATTCTGTAGTATTATACTGAAATCTCATACATGGAAATGCAGCAGGGATATTTCAGAACCACTTTCAACACATTTTTTTTCTTTCCATGATATTTCACTAATAGAGTTATGTTTTTATAATTTCAGGTCATTTATGCTCTTCTTTCGATACGTTTTAATGCACGCATCCGTGTGCGTACGTACACCGATGAAATTGCACCGCTGGAGTCAATAACATCGATTTTCAAAGGAGCAAACTGGTAAGTTAGACTTGAAACTCAAAGTTTCTTTAAACACACTCTCTAATTTTGCTGCAGGTATGAAAGAGAAGTTTACGACATGTACGGTGTTTGGTTCAACAATCACCCAGATTTACGACGTATTCTCACTGATTACGGTTTTGAAGGGCATCCGTTTAGGAAAGATTTTCCCTTATCTGGTTATGTTGAGGTATGTTTTCTAAATTTTTGAATCCGCGGAAGTTAGAAAACTTGCAGTAGGTATATCTAACATTATGTCATGCAGATTGTTGTTAAATTTGGCTTTTAGTTGCGTTATGATTCTGAACTCGGTCGCTGCGTATATGAACCAACCGAATTGGCACAAGAATTCCGAAAATTTGATCTGAAAACTCCATGGGAGTCTATGCCTAACTTCCGCGACGAATCGATGATGTCGCGCTATGAACAAATCGGTTTAGAGGAGCCTAAGGAAGAAACCGAGAAGGATAAGAAATAAATTATTTAAATTTGATGTAAACAGTGTATATAACAAATTTGCTAGAAAAAATCCATCGATTTGGCAAGCGAAGAACTGAAAATGGCTGAATTGCTCCATCCTCTTTTAAAAAAAATAGGTAGAAATGTCAAAGATAGGTGGAAGGCAAAAAGACGACAGATCGAGTGGATGAGGGCAAAGATATCATTTGAGTTAGGACAGCTAAAGTTGAAAATTACATTTTTTTCTTGATATTAAGGAAGGAAATTTTCCATTAATTTTATCACATTCGGTGCATATTTTAGAGTAAATATTTCTGATGGCATTATAAATTTTTTATTCCTTGAAAGAATCGCCATGGAAATCTTTACCACTCAATTCAAGTAGTAAACGTGTTTCATTTTTATTCGTTAGCGGACGTTGCCGGTTCAACTTATCTTGCACTTCGGTATCTATCATTTCCTTATACTTTTCTCCAATTGACCATACTTCAATATTTTTCATTTTAAACGTTATTTCACCGGCCAACCAACATTTTTCAAACGTACTAATTCCAGCAGTGGAATTACCACTGCTGAAATCCTCATGTAGAAAGAAGGACCAATTCTCACCATGTCCACCCATACCCTGAAAAATTGATTCCTTCGATTTAACGAAAATTTTGATGAAATTTGAATCAAATGCGATTAGGGTAGGAATTTAAATTACAATATAATAGTTGTTAATCAAGAGATGTAAAAACTGCTAGCTGAAGTTGCACAATAACTTAAATCACACATAAGGTGTCTGTCTGCTAAAAGCTGTCAGTATAGAGATTAGAGAGATTACTTCCGCAAGTCTAATCATTGTTGATACATAATTATTGCCGTAGTCACAGTGTCAGTAAACAAGTTGATGAAAGATAAGTAAGCTATAATTTTGAAAGTTCTAAAATGAAGACGTACGATTCCATTTGGCAATGAGACCTGGCCAGAATTGAGATAGCCGAAATTACCGTTGTAACCTGTGGCGCTGTAAATATGCAGCTTTTGTCGATCTTCAAACAGGAAGCACTGAACATTACCGGTATGGCGTGGACCACAAATGAATCCGTGGCTAGCAAATGCACCAAAGACACGGTCGGATGTTGTTTCGATGACAATTACACATGGACCTGCGCGATCCACACTTTTCACTAGTTTCATGAAACTTTCACCGTGTTTTTCGCTGAAATTCAAATTAGTAAGTAGTCCTACATGCACGAGCGTTTCTTTCAAAAACAACCGTTCGGATTTCACGTTTTGATTTAACCCCAAAATATAAATCATATGTGCCCTCAACTAAAAGATAAGGAACCAAAAATCTCAATTGATTTGTACGCTACAGTGTCTTACTTCGTCCCACGTCGCAAAACTTCCTTTTTTCTACTGAGTTACATTGGACAAATGTTGCCTTCTACAGAAAATGTATTAGGAACCCTGAGAATTAGTGAATTCTAGATTTGTTAAAATGCAGTTTTCAGGCAATTTGACTTAACTCTAAATCATGCAATTGGACTGTAAGACATTGTCTTTAAATATGATAAAAAACAATTGACAGTAAATGGAATCCTTGAAATTTCATCTCCATAATTGATGGGATGTTGAAAATTTGCATTTTCCAAGTCTGGTATTAAATAATTTGTAAGTAATCTGCAGCATCGAACCTTGAAAATAATAGCTTCCATCGATCTCTTAATTCTTCGGGTAAATTCGCATACAAAAGGCATATTGCAGCAGGAGTAAGCAAAGAGTTTTTGCTAATCTGTTGCAAAAGTTTCGTACTGTTCCGCGGTCCAACAAAGATGAGCTCACTGATATGTTTAATTATAGTAGGTAAGATAATTTGGCTTTGCATAAAACTACTTAAGGTGGATGGATCCAACTGTAACGGGATCCCTTCCATGAGAAAGTCAACAAGAAGTGTGATACTTGGTGGATCCAGTTGCTCACATTTGAAAAATGAAGAAATCATAACCTCTATAATCTGAAATATAGACGATATGTTAATCTGATCAACTGACTATTCGTAATCGAAATTTTATATGAATTATAAAATTTAGTGATATTTATTGAAGTTAGGACCTGTTTTATTGGTTGGTCAAATAGTAAGAGAACTTTTGCTTGTTGATCGAAATCACCAAGTATCATTTCAGCGAACTGTACAAAACGTTCCATCCTAATCTGAAATCTTTTGTTATATTAAGATTTTCAAGTAACATATTATCCAACTGATTCATCAAACATGATATCATGTAGTAACGATGTAAATTACTGAGGACATTGTTGATGCTATGTGTCTTGATAGTATATTGATCGGTTAATATATTATATTTAAATCTGGGAACTTACAACATTCTCGGGTTTACTTAATAAATCATATATGAACGACTGTAACTGCGGGCATATTGCTGATTCAGTATATTTCTGGAAAATTAAGAAATGGAAAAAGTTAATTTTGCGGAAACATTCATCGTATTTCAAAGTTTACAATGAAAGAAAAAAACGGAGAGCTTACATAGAAGACGGATTTATCAATGACAGATTCCTCATTAGCTATTTCGTAGAATCGATTTTTTAACAATAACTGGAAATCGTTTGTATTGTTCTTCTTACTTTCGGAAGGACTTTTTACTTTGCTTCCAACTTTGCCCATTAATTGGAGAACTATACACAAAGAGTTTCATATTTAAGTGAAAAATAAAAAGTGTAAGACAAATATTAGTGATAAAGATGAATTTCAAAGATCAAACTGGGTGAGAAAAGCAAGAATATATGGTCATTTGAGTGAGTAAAATGCAAAACTAAAATAAGAATTTAAAATTGTGTGTGGGAACAAACGACAAGTAAAGAGGTATACAACTATGAACAATTATTTTATTTTACTCCTCATTAAAAATTCGCCAAAATTATGGAAAAATGGAAATTGATGTAAATGCAGGAAATGAAAACAAAGCAAAATTAGTACCGGGGCGAGAACTGTTGCATGTAATACGGAAAACAATTTCAAATAAACTTGTTCAATCACAAATTTATTTGTCAGGAACAAATTTCAAAGAAACACGGAACCAGAATCATCATGACGACCACATCAAAATATTACACCGTTGGTTTGTAAAAAACCACACACAATCAAAATACAATTGCGTGCGAACTGTCTGCATGGCTGTGCGCGGATCGTTGGAGTCGGTGTCGTGCTGGATTGGCAGTATGGTTTGTGTCGCTTCGTGTAATCAGCCTTAGGAACTTAACTTACACCTCATGAGTCAAAATTATGAGTTGTCCATTTTCCATTAAGGCTAGAAGTTACAATACAGCTATTCATGCCAGACCTGTAGACAGATAATTGCGCCCTAACGGAGAACCATGTGACTCAGAATAATCTAACTCCCATGTTATAAATATGCCATTTTTTTCTTATAATTTTAAAATTTGAATTGTCTACATTTCTACATGTTTGATAGGATAATATTCATGGCACAGAAAAAATATGTTTTTTATTGCTATATTATTTCTATATTGTCCTAAATACATTATTTCTATACTATTCGAAAAAATATTTCTATATTATTGTAAAATTTGGTAGGAAAAAATATATTTCTAAGCAACCATACCGTGATATCAAGATTGTTCAGGAATAATGCTTCCTATTACCTTATTTCAGTGGTTTGCAACTAGTGCTCCGCGAGAACTAGAGCATATACCGTGATATGAGCTATGTGCAATGGGTAGAAAACATGCGAAGGTTATTCTTATCAATGTCTGATAAACTAATACATTTGAACTTTTAATTAAAGTTTATATCCAAATTAACAGGACTTATCATTTTTGATCCTTGTTGTCCCGGCTACAAATAAAAAGGCTAAAAATGTTCTCTGGTCAAGAAAAGGTTAGGAGTTATAGTTAGCTGAATGACAGTTATGCAGTGAAAATCGATTAAACATAGACCCACCTGAGGAATTATGAATAATAATATTATGAATTATAATACATAATTCTGACAAGGAATTTAATTTGAACTCTTAAAAAAAAGAATCCAAACAATGAGATGCATTATTTGTAATTATTGTCGGAAAATAACAAATAGGGAGGAAAAGGTTAGATGTGAATTATGACACTTAGCGTTGTAGTAATGATAGGCAATCCGGAATTCCGTTTATCCACAACATTCGGAGTAAGTAAATACTGTTGCATTGTTACTTAGCGAATGAGAGGGAAAGGGAAGAGAGCAATCCATCACTTACGGTACATAATTAATGGTAATATAATTGCAAAATACCAGTCATTGTTTGTTGTCGTAATTATCATTGTATCATCTCGGAAAGTAGTAACAATAATTTTGAATCAATAATATGAATAAGAAGAAGTTTGGGAAGGAAGAGGCAAAAGTTCGAATTGCTAGTAACCATAGAAAAGCAATACGGAAGTTGTAGACAAAAACCAATAATAATTACTTGGTACAACTCGTTGAGTTTGACCATACTTGGGGAGGAACCTAACGACTATCAGCACTATACTATCTGATATATCATATGTGGAAATATCCACTGCTAGCACGTGGATTTCAAAAACATGTAAAATCAATAATTCAAATACCTACAAGAACCGATAAAAATAAAACACCGTTACATCAATAGGTGTAATAAATAAGGTAGAAAGTAGCGCGCGTTTCACCGAACATTAAAACCAATATTTGTATTAGAAATATGCCAAACAAGAATGAAACATCTATTTTTTGTGTGATCTATGGAAACGAAAATATAGATAAATAAAAATCCATTTAAGATTAAATTTAAATTTGAGGAAGTATGAATTCGTATTTCTGGAATCCACAGTACCATTGTTACGATCATCTTAATCCAGCGCACTGTTACAGATTAATCCATCCGCTTAAATCAATCATCTGGACACAAAGACAGTGCAGATCATATAAGCGTTTATGAAAATGAGAAATATTATTTCTGTATTCAGCAAATGATAATTCAAAGACAAGGATAGTTAAAGCAAATCGTTGACAACGCAGGGAAATGACAGGGTTATTACTCAACATTGCTATGAGATATTTGAAAGTTCGACGAAAATCCGAAAATTGAATTGAAAAAGAGAACTTGGGAATCCGAACAAATAATATTGGAGTATTCACAGCAGAATGAATGAAATTATTTTTATACATATGCCAAAAATAACTCTAATTTATAAAATCTGCGGAGTAAAGTCTGTAAATCTGTTGATTAAGTACCTCTAGATGCAATTTTCTCCGAAAAGAGCAACCGTTTTCGAATTCATATGAAAACAATCCAACTTTTGAAGTATTTCAAATATTGAACTTATATGATAATAATTTCCTAATGAAATGACAGTGTCTTACATGTGTGAAAAAGAATAAAGAGACAAGAAGAAGGATCATGCTGTTAATTTTCCAGTCACCAAGGGTTTCCATTTGATTCGGAAAGCAGCAAATGACCTTAACAAGGCTCGCAGTGATCAAACCTGCAAGAAATACGAAACATGAATTTATCAAACGAATAAGGAAATATCGTCCACTGCAGCGTATTAGTTAATGATGCATGCCAGATAATATTATATAATAATCTCTGGGATACACCCATCATGCCAAATGCCAACATACTGCATTTAATCTATCTATTGAAGAAGTATCGGTTAGCGGCTTAAAACCGAATATTAATGTAAACTAGGATAATTTCATGTACTAAACTGTCACAACAAATCCATAACCTTGATATTCTTCTGATATAAAGATTATGATTTATTTCCCTTAAAAAATTATTTTGAAATTACGCGATTGCTAAATGGTTTAACATTCAGTCAAACTGTTCAGACCGCGCTTCTTAATAATTCCTAACCCACGTCTTTGCCATTTTCGAGTAATGTCTTTATCCACAATGACAAACATCATAATTTTATATAGCGAATAAACCAACGCTCTAACCATATGCAGTTTGTTATGGTTCCGGTTCAACTCCTGCTTGTGTCATTAGATCGGTTATGTTCTTTTCCAATTCATCGATGCGTTTTGTCATGTCATCTATACGTCCAATAATTTGATCAGACATACGTTGAAAACGATCCTGCGTTTGTTGCAATACTCCTTGTATCTGAAATGTATGTTTTCCTCTTCTCTGTCTAAAATATATCCTATATAAGGAATTCTTTCATGAAAATCTAAGAACAGAAAAAAGTTTTCCGATCTCAACTGTTATTAATTTAGGTATAGTTGTTGCGCTATATACTTTTTACTCCCGATAAATAGCTTCTTCTGTACATGCTCCATCCATGACCATACGTGGAAAAGAATGCATTCAATAACAATACAAGAAGATATAGAAAGAGAAAATGAGATCGTGATAATTCATCACATCTCTTACCCTTTCCAAATGTTTCCAAAAAACAAAAAAATAACCAGAGAAGTTAGCTCTTGCAAACTTTGATCGCCAGATCTCGCTTCCGGCAAAACTAAAGAATCATTTTCGTTAGCCTTTCTTGCTACTTCATCACTACTTTTCTCTGCATTTGGTTGCTGTTCACTCTCCATTTTGCAACTTTTTTTTTTTTCCTTTTTTTGTAATCCTTGAATTGAACTGGAACGAACCTAGTAAGAAAACGCATTCAAATCTTACGGATTTAGCCTCTATTTTAGCAAGGTTCAATACTTACCCAAGAATAAAAAGGGAATAATCAGAAGCATTGCATAGCTCATAGAAATAAGAAATGAGACTAAACACTTCAAATTATATTATCTTCCACCAAACCAATAACTGGAAGCTTCTTTGATAATACTAAGTAATTCGAAAAAAAGAAAAATCGAACTGTTTTTGAATGACAAATACAACCTGACTAAATAATTGAATCACATTCGTAGATGTTAATAACAACGAAGATTATTTGCAATCAATAGATACTTAAAAATAACAAGCTGGAAAATACTGTGACTTTAAACAATGACAAATTAAAGTAGAACGACGAATATCAGGTGTAATGCTTAAAACAAATATAATATTAAGAAACTTGATTGCATAATGGTCAACAAGCTCGAAATGAAGAATTACAACCGAACGACTTTGATTATCAAAGCCAAGAAAGTTGATTTAACAAACTACATAAGATAAAAAGCATGTGGAACAAATACATTCAAATAGCATATTTATCAGTCCAAATTTGTCATTTATCATCAGTTGACATTTTCGATTTTAAAGATAATAGTGGTCTTCGTAATTTATTATTTTTAAACAATAAAAAAAGAAAATCATAGTATGACATTTCATATCATTACACAGTAATAAAATATTCTTGTATTTATCAAACAAATGATTGCTGAAATCAAACCTAACTGTACTATAATTAAAATACTCATGTATATATAAACGCACACACGCAGACAAACACGCACTCATACGCACATACGGGGCACTACGATATTCGGTCATTATTACTGTCATCAGTAACTACTGGAAAGCCATATAAACGACTAATTTGCTTATCTACGAAAGCTGGAATATCTGGTTCTGGTATAAACTCTGAATCCTTAATTATCCGATAAACAGCTATAACTTCCACGACATTTATGCCTTTGATCCAAATTCGTCCATTAATGCCACTTGTTATTTCGAATTTTATATCTTTACCAATTAGTGATAACAGCTTTGAAGTTGGTGAAAGAATTCGACGTACAAGATTTAGGCTTGTTTTAAACAAAAATCCACCGGATGGTAATGGACCCATACCACGTGCTCGACCCTCGCCATCAACACATGTAAGCTGGAAACCATAACTTTTCCGTAGAAACTTGACACTTCATTAAAAGGATCGTTTCCTGCCCGAAACAATATCTACTACTTCTCCTTTCTCTGCTGTTATATTTTATGATTTTTAAATCATTTCCCACTTTATATCCAAGATAGTGATAAATATGTATCCGATCAAAAAGGCAAGTTATAGAGCTTGATGATAGAATGTACCTCTGGTTCAAGATGTTTTGTTGCAGTAGTAACAGATGCATAAATTAAATCACCAACTTTAAGTTTGGACGATTACGTCTTGTGGCACCTAAAAATCACATACAGTTAGAACGAATT